TTATTTTATTTTATCCTTTTATTTTAGTATTTGAACACAACAATCATACAATTTATTCAGCAAAAACTTTGAATTCCTCATATTGCATGTAAAGAAACAAGAAAAAAAACAATGCAATTAATTTAGTCACCAATTTTTGTTTCTTAATTTTGTCAACTAATTACTTGATTTTTCAATGTGGAACAATAGCTTTTACTACCTCCTATTTTTAATATATGTCGTTTTGAGAAGTTGCACACTAATTAAGAATATTTTTTTTGTCAATAATAACCTTATTTAATGAAGATAGAGATGAATGTTTTGAGAAAAAGTGAAGAGTGAATATGAAAAGAAAAATATGTACAAAGGATCCAAAACGACATTTATTTAGCAAATAGTTGATAAAGCTAGAATGACATTTAAAAAACATAGGAGGGAGTATTTTGTAACAACTTGAAATTTTTAGGGACTTTGACAACTCATTGTTGTCAATCGGAGAATAATTAGATAACACCAAAGAGATCTTTGGATAGATGGAGTCTTTTTTTTTTTTTTTTTCAAACGATAGAGGTAATATATTACTAGCACAAATGTACATAAGGCAGCCAATAGCTGAATACAAAGCAGCTAACAGCTGAATAGAAACAACCACCGACTAAAAAAGAGGGAGGACAGGTCATAAGACCGCCTAGAAACTGACCCCAACAGGGTAATAAAACCAAAAGCACACAAAAACACTACTAACGAACAAACACAAAGACCCCAACAGGGTAATGCCCGAGTGCAGATCCCAACAGGATAATAAAGGCGCACTCGGGGGATAGATGGAGTCGAGAACCAAATTATTGTATACCAATAGTGAATATTGGACAAGATTAACCCAAAATTAAAAATTATTGTACCAAATTGCAAACCCTATAAAGTGAATGAATAAAAATGAAAAACAATGAAAGTTAATGTACCAAAATTGCATTTTTTTTTTTTTTTCCAAAGAACCCATACATCTCTATAAAACCTAGCTCCAAGCCTCCAATATGTTATAACTACACACACAATAAGTCCTTTTTCCACAATATAAACAAAACAAGACACAAAAACCCCTAAAGGGGGGGAAAAAAAAAATACCAAAATTACAAAATCTTGATCAACAGCAAAATGGGAAAAAATCACAGGTTCAAACTGTCAGACATAATGCCAAACGCCTGGTTTTACAAGCTGAGGGACATGAGCAAATCCAACAAACCCCCAAAAAACCCAAGAATGTTACCACCACCTCCGGCCCAAAAGAACCCCCGAAAATCCTACTACCACTCCTCTGAATCCCGGCCCATCCACAACCCGATTTCGCCCCGAAACCCGAAGCTCGTCGAGACTCGTTTCCCCCACGAACCCAACCGGCGCTCGTCCAAGAAACGTGCGAGACGCAAGACGATATACATGCCATCCCCACGGCCGAGGCACGAAGATTTCGACTCGCAAGACTTGAGGGATTTTTTTCTCGAGTCCGATTCATCCGGGCCCGGCCCGGATCACGACGGGCATTTCCCGGGCCTTGCCGCGGAGCCTGACTCGACATTTGAGCCGGACCTCGACCTACCGCTGCCAATCGTGACAAAGCCGGTTATTGGGCCGAAGAGGAATGTGGGCCCGGCCCGGAAGTCATTCTCCCGGGCCAGAGGGGTGAAGGTGAAGGTCCGTGGGAACGGGCCGAGAACAGGAACGAAAGTCAACCGAAGAGGGATTAAGGGCCCAAACGGAGTTGGGGAAAACCGGGCCGGCCCGTTTTACGCGGAGAGTTTAGCCATCGTGAAGGCCTCGGTCGACCCAGAATGGGACTTCCGGGAGTCGATGGTGGAGATGATTGTGGAGAATAATATACGGGCTTCGAAGGATCTCGAGGATCTTCTCGCGTGTTACCTCTCGTTGAACTCGAATCAGTATCACGGGCTGATTATCCGAGCGTTCGAGCAAATATGGTTGCGGCTCATGTCAGATCAAGAGCACCAATTTTAGTTCTACCGTCAAACGCGTCTCGTGGTCAGACGTGCTTTTAGTGGTGAAAAGTGATACTACTGCCAATAGTATCACTTTCCACCATTCTGATCGTTACATGACGATCAAACAAGAGTTCCTCATGTATGAAGGAGTTGAGTATAATTATTTGTAATTAGAGTATAGATTGTGGATTATTGTCGTAATTAATCTTTGTTTATATTGCCTTTGTTACTAGTGATTTTTATTTGTATATGATCTTAGAAATGTGTAGTTTGATAGATCACAAACGGTTTTTCAGCCAGTGTTTTTAATTATAAATTCATTATTTGTATGTGATGATAATTTTCATAGTTTGACTTGTAATTAATTCATTAAATTAATAATATGAGATAATTAAATTCAAGGGAATGTTATAAAGTGCTCTGTTCTCATATCTGCATTTGTTTCATAATATTCTCTCTGACAGGTCTTGATGATCCTAGGATTCAAAACATAAAAAAAAAAGAAGTGAAAATAGTTAGTCTGTTATTTAAACCACAGGTTGGATGCATGGCTTGATCATGATCTCCGAGGGGTGGCTCACCCACGATGCATTATAGTAGTTTCGTAGACCTCGGGTTTATGGCCTCCATCTTTATACGAATATTTCAGTGTTAGAACTTAATGTAAATTGTGATGAATATTAATAATAAAATTTCTATTTGAATAAAATTTCCCTGGAAATTCAAGTTGAAATAAATAATTCCAACAACATTATTTACCAATGTTTCGAAATATACATTTTTTCTTGAAATTGTTTATTTCATCAATAATTCTAACCGTTAAAAAAAGTTGAGAGTTGAAATTGTTAAAATCCAACAAAGTTTCAATTTTTTTGTTTCAAATTGTTGAAATTTTTTTTGGAACACATGCGAATTTGATAATTTTCTTACAAGTTTTCAAATATTTGATATTGAGATCCACAATTTTCACATAATAATAATAGTGAGAAGAACAATATTTTTTTTAGATAAGGTACATGGTAAAGCGACTTTTGAGTTGTAGTCTAAAGTGAAAGTATAATCATTTAATTCAAGTGTCTTTATGCATAAAGAGAAAATGACCCCTTTGATTTTTCAAAATTAAATTTCTTTTGAAAATCAAAATCACATTATCTCACACTTTTATGCCAAAAAATAAATTTAGAATGAATTATGAGAAAAATAAAAAATGTAAAATAAAATTCTGTGATTAAAGCAAAAAAATGAGAAAATTAACTAAAAAATATATTTGTAAGCTTTAAAATTATATAACTAACAATTGAAAATTAAGCTGTTATATATCTTAGCAAAGTGAAATTACTAAATAGCTAAATAAATAAAAATAAGATTTAATAATATTTTTTATTATTAATTTATATTATATATAGTAGTGATATATAGAGAAAAATTCATGATGAAATTATAGTACTCTATTTTTTAGAATATGATTACAATGTGAGATAACAAATTTTATTTAGTGGAATGAGAATGAAATTTATTAATTTTGTAATGGTATAACCTTAGCTTCTTAAAAAATTCAGGTGATCATTTCTCCTTCGGTTTGAATTTTGACTGAGGATAATATATGATTATGTATTTTGACTGAGGATAATAGTATATGATTATGTATAATGTTAATGAACATTGAATATTTACCCAAGAGCGCTTGAATGAAATGGCTTGGGTCTCTTCCAGCTTAACCATTGGTCTCGAGTTCGAGTCCTGGGAATGCAGTAGTGTTAAAACTCTTGAGGAAGAGCTTTGCCGCCCTTGTGGTCCTACCCGACTCAATTCCGGATTAGTCGGTTCTCCTGTGGATCTGGAAACCGGAAGGTCCCTGTACCAAAAAAAAATTAATATTGAATTTTTATTGAAACTTTTGATTGAAGAGATTACAAGTCTAGAAGGCTTTCTAAGAAGACTGAACATAATAATTGAGTTAAGGTCCTTAAGGATGCACCAAACTTTTAAATAGATAAAAAATGGAAAAAAAAATACAAAAAATTCAAATAAAATATTCAATCTCGTAATTTATATTTTTTTTTAAAAAAATATAACAAATCAACTCATCTTATAATTAAATCTGCACCCTGCACAATTGTTTACATGAGTAATGTTATAAGTACATAATATTGTAGATAGGGCTGAAGATAATTGCTTCTAATTATTACCCCGCAAGCTAATCATTATATATTTGACTGTGACTCCTAAGCTTCTGCAAATAATAAAGCATAATGTTAGCATACAAATTCAAATATGTTTGTATCTAATTTGTTATAGTGAAACAAAAATAGAACAAAAATGTACATGGAATGCCGTACCAAATTGAATATGACCTAAAGAGTGTTTCTATTGAACCGGGTGAACCAACAAGTCGACTAGACAATAAGGATGTCAGATACCGAAGAATCACTTGTCGATGATGACCTCATCGATAAGGAGGCTCGCCAACAGGTCGAGCTAGGCCCTCAGACAGCCTGGTAGAAACTCGACATAAAGGTCAGAGAGCACAAACACAAAGTGACAATCTAGCTAAAGGAAAGTCGAACTGGTTGTATGATTAGACTGTAAAAAAAGGTAAAATAATGGATATGAATTAAGATTGAACCACGTGGCTTAATAAGATTGAGCATTTTGGGCACCTGGGCAGTACGAATGGGTAATTCAGGCACTCGAGCACCCCATCTAGGTAATCTTGGACAATTAGTGAAGACATCAATATAAAAGAGTGAGTTATGTAGAGGTGACCACAGGCCAGGACCGGCTCGGATCTTAACTGGGCCGAGTCAGGGCCATTTTTTTTACCCTGACCCAGCAGGTCGAGTCGGGTCCAGTCCAACTTGAAAAGTCAACAACTTCTGTATTGTTTCTTATTTTTTATTTTTTATTTTTTGACCGGGTCCCAGACCACGGCCGGGCCTGGTCTGGCCCGTTGGGCCATCTACTCGACACCAGTCCAGGTCCATGTCGATTCCGGGTCCCTGTTTCCGAGCCTGTCGGGCCGGGCTTCTCTAGAGATATGTTCATTCACACTATACACATTATTACATACTTACAAACTATATTATAATTGTTCATCGTCTTTTTTATACACATACTGACATACTGACTTGATCGTAGAGTGATACCGCAATGACAACCTCCCAACTCATTTTATAAGTCTATCGAATTGGTCGAAACCGGATCCAAACCATTCCCGTCCGATCCAGATCGTTTTACACACCAAATGTCATGCTCAAACATTTTTTCCACCGTACATGATGTAATTATTAACATCTATTATAAAAGTACCTAACTAATTTGCAGATAAAGACCATATGATTAAATTAATAGGTCTTATGTACTATTTGCTGCTAAAAATAGACATATCCAAATTCAAACAGCTTTG